GGCACAGGCCTCTCCTCCTCTCAGAACACCCTCAGCTTAGCCAGGGATCTGCAGCTAATCCTAAGTAAGGTCAGGTGAGATACTGTCTTCTTATTTAAAAAAAAAAAACCAATGCGTATCTATCTTACTTTCCTTGAACTCATATTCCACTCCAGCTTAGAGAATTTTCGTATAATGTTGTGGGGAGGGAGTATGGAACACCAAATCTTTCCTGACTTACAACTGGATCAAGGCTCTTGAGTTTGGAACAAAAATGTTGAACTACCTTTGTCCTCTAGTTCTGTCCCTCTGAGGCAACAGGGGACTCACATCCAACGGCCTGAATGGGTACAGTCACAGGACAGAAAAAATCTGGGGGGAGAAACATTGGCTAATATTTCACAAGGTCGCATTGCCACATTTGTAACTATTTACACTTTCTACCTACACACAGTCAAGAAAATGACTAAGAACAAGCGAGAAAATTGTTCACAAGCACATCTTTGTGGATCTTGTCAGTTAATGGATTGCATCGATCAGTATCCAATCAGGAGACAGAAACCATACAGCAAATCCAACAGGGAATATTTCATAAAAAGAATTATTAATTATGAAGAATGAAAGGGAACCATGAAGAATACCCCAGAACTGCAGGACAGTACCCAAGGAAGGACAAACTTGGAAGGGCAGTGCCAAGGGTCACCTCCAAGAGCGGGGTTCAGATATCACTGGAGTCTGAGATGGCTACTGGAGGGTAAAGAAGTTGACCTGGGCCAGAGTGGATCTGCACCCTTGAAGCCAAGGCTGGTGGAAAAACGAAAACCTAACAGGGTTGGGAGTGGCCACAGGAAAGGCAACACCGGGCCAGAATACAGGTGGACCGAGGTGGGGTAGCTGCCTGCTAGCACGCCTCCAGCCTCACCAGGAATCCACCAGCAGGCATTTCACTGAAACTTGATAAAAGCGAGCGCCCCAGGGTGTCTTTGCGGCAAGAGCCTCTGGCAGCAGAGAAGGAGCAAGAAAACTGAACAAGCATCACAGCGCCGGCAAGAGAGACAGACCCCTTCCTCCTGTGATGTCCCTCCTGCGCCCTCTACTGAGAGTGTTTAACATGGTGCCAGCGGCAAAGTAGAACAGGGTCTAAATCTTTTCACCGAGAAGGCATGAAAAGCACATTTGGAGCTGAGACAATACATTGATAACTGACATGCGAATGTAGCGCAGTGTCCAGGTGATCAGTTGGACGTTACCACGGTCTCTAGAACACCGATTGAGAGTCTATTGAGTACCAAGCACCGCGGCACAGCGCTGATGTTTTAAGGAAGAATATGACAGGCCCCAGTCTCTGCCCTCCCGGAGCTTGCATTTGGGGCGGAGGCAGGCATACATCGGTGGGTAATAAATACGTAAACATCTAAAAATACTTATTATAATCAGTGCTATGATGAGAGTAAATAGGGACAAAATAGGGGCCCTTTTTAGAATGGGCAGATGGGAAGACTTCGCGGAAAAGGTGACAAAAATTGTGACTTTAAAACAGGCACAAAAGATTACTGGGTCTCTTGTATAGGGCACCCTCCAAGCTATCCTCTGCCTGTTTGTACCTTTGGACTATTTTACAACTCTGTAAACCATAGATAATTGAAAGCAATGCAAATGAATCTTGTCCATGAACGTGCAAATATCTTTTGTCCTGTGAAAGTGCAATTGATTTCCCTCCCCACACTGCTCTGTGGGAGAAACCAGTTTTAGATATATTAAGCAAATTAATTTTTAACATTCCTGATGGCCTATACATGTAACTGCTCTTTGGAATCTTCTTTTATTCCATTATAACATCTTATTGATTCCCTTATTAGTTAACAAGTGAAATCTTGGACGTGTATTCATTTTATATTCATATGAAAATGATAAATTACCTTAAAAAAAACAGTGATGCTTTAATACATTTAAATTCAATCCCCCAAAGACTAGTGTTGGGGGCTCCTCAGCCCGGGGCTACCAGCCTAACATTCATATTACATCAAGACTGAATGAACTGATCACACGGTCTATTCCTTCATTATTTGTGTGTTGAAAACACATGCCAAAAATCACCTCTGCAAGACAGGCTCAAGAGAGAACACAGACTTTTGATTCAGAGACTGACACATTTTTTGTGAAGGGTGCTCATGACATCAAAGAGATACTGACTTTCCCAACTTTGTTGGCAGGTAAAAGAACGTTTAACAGAACTCTTCTTGGATAGTTTTGAGCCCATGGCTATATTCATAAAATCCTATAATTTTAAAATAGCGTGGACAACTTGGAAGTCATCTAGTTCACTCTGCTCATTTTATAGATGAACTAATTAGGACAGGAAAGCCTAGGTGACTTGTTAAAGATAATCAACTAATCCAGGGATTTTTCAATTGGTGTGCTGTAAGAGAAACACTGGTGAGCCAAAGAATTTTTCGAACATGCAATACCTGACTATTTGGTCAGGGGCACTGACCTCTTCTCCCTCAGGTTGTCAAATAAAAAAAGGACAACAGCCAGCACAATAATAGCTGTCCTGTGTGAATGAATCAAAATTATACCTATTTTTATAAGGTTAGCAAAAAGATATTGTTTGGTGTGCTGCAGAATTTTAGAAATTAATGTGCCATGAGATTAAAAAAAAAAATTGGAAATCAATGACAAGCTGAGATACAACCCAGGCTCATACTTTTTCTACCATGATGTGGAAGCCAACCGGAATTGCCCAAGATTCCTGACAATGCACCCATCCCTTCTTTCCCTCTTTTATATATAAATGCCTTGAAAAAGCAGGGGAGTGGTGGTGTCAGTGAGGGGTAGCATATTATGAGGAAAGAACTCAGACTGAGAAAGTGTCTTGGGTTTTTCAACTAGTTTTACTACTTATTTGTATTTGCTAACTTTAGTGTCTTCAGCAAATTGGGCATAAATTATTATTAAATAAAAATAAACTGCCTCAAAAAATTATTATGAGGGTGAATAATTACTTATATAAAGTACCTGACATATAGCAGGTGTTTAGTAAGTCATCTATTATTAAATGGTTACTCCTCCTCCATAACAAAAATAAATTAAAGTAACCATCTATATGCCATAAAAACCCTTCGGTCTTTGAGAAATACATATTTGACAATACTGACACTTTTATAATAAATTAGTACTTTTATGTGTAAATGAAAGTTACACACACACCCACATACAGCTGTCTGTTTTATAAAATCCATCTTTATTGAATGAACAATCTGTAAACATAAGTCCACTCTACACAAATCAATATTCTCCTCCTCCACCTCCCAATGTTTTATTTGAATGCTTGAAAGCAATTAATTAGGTCTTTAGACATAACCTGCTTACTTTTAATCTGTGTAAAGTGAAACATGAAACACTATATTTTTTAAAGTACAGTAGGTCCTGGATTATGAGGCAATCCAAGTGAGGGTACAGATGTCTGCAGCATCCTCTGCCTAGGTGATGGAACCCCAGAGTGTAATTACCCAAGGCTCATCCCCATTGATAAAAATAGCTGTTTAGTACTTTAGAGTACACAAAGAGTTTTCATATGTATAATCTTAAATGCTCTTAAGAAACCAAGGGAAAGGATGCGATGTCCTCTGTGTGACAACAGAAACTAGGGTAGGGAATACTTTCTAGACTTACTGGTTCACTAGATGATTGAATTTATATCACTGTTATTAGTTTGCTAGTAAGAGAGTACTACAAAATGAGTGGCTTCGAACAACATGAATTTGTCTCGCCGTGGGAGGCCAGAAGCCTGGCCCTTCTCCCTCCGTAGGCACTAGGGAAGAGGATCTGTTCCGGGCTGCTCTCTTAACTCCCACTCTATAGTTCCTTGCCTTGTGGCAGCTGTGGGGTAGGAAAATACTTTCCTCTACCCTTAAGGTTCATTTGGCTGGCCTAAAAATCAAATAGACGTAAGACAGACTGGGAAGAGAAAATGACCAAATTTAACACCTACAGATGTATGAGAACCCCACATACATGAGAGTCTCAGAGATCCCACATGCACGAGAGGTTCAGAGACAGACAGAGAACATGGGTACATAAGACATTCTTAGCTAGGGATGAGGTAATGTTCCTTGGGACTTCAGGAGGTCACTGCAGGGAGAGCACATGTTCAGTAATTACGTATTAGTTTGCCCTCAAATAAAAATACTTAAAAGTCGTTTCTGGTGATAACTCTTCTCATAGGCTAGGCTCCTGATTGAAATTCTTCTAGGTAGTGAAGGTGGGAGTCAGAAGTTTCTTTTGAACCTGCAGGGTTTGTTGCTTTTAGCTCAAAATAATCTGCATGCCACCAAGGCACATCTGGAGGGTGGTGACTAGCTCTGAAACCCACCCCGCTCTCCCAGCATTACTCCAGTCTTTGCAGAGCATTCTCCTTGTGTGTGAGTCTGTATACAAATGTTCCCTTTTAAAAATATTTTTAAATTTATTTTTGGAGAGAGGAGAAAGAAGAAAGGGGGGGAGCAAAACATCAATGCATGGCTGCCTCTCATGCACCCCCCACCAGGGACAGAGCACACATTCCAGGCACCATGCCCTGGCTGGGAATGAAACCAACTACCCCTTGGTAGGCAGGCCTGTGTCCAATCGACAGAGCTACACCTGCCGGAGCAAAATTTTCCCTTTCTATAAGGATCTCAGTCACAACGGATTAGGGCCCACCCTACAGACCTCATCTTTACTTGATCTTTTCAAATAAGGTCACATTCACAAGTATGGTACTACAGTTTATATAACTCTTAGGTAGACTATTTAACCAGTAACAATTGCCATATTCTTCCTCCTTTTAACCTTGCCAAACGCATCCACTGATTCAGTCATTTAATGAACATCTGAATGCCTATGTAGCAGGTTCTTAATTGGATAGGGTATTGATGCAAAATGAACTGGATGAATCACCTCCCCATCCTTAAGAAGTCACTTTAGAGGGACCGAGAGAGACATTATTATAGTAATAAGTACAATTAATGAGCACCTACTTCGCGCTAGATGTTAAAGCAGGCACTTTTCATTCAGTCTTCACAATATCCCGTGATTAAGTGACGTGTAAGAGTCATGCCTGGTGCTAGGTAGATCCTAAATCTCCCGAGCTGCGGGAAGAAATATTTTCACAAATTTAGTTGCACTTCATCTGAGTCTAAAGGAACATGTAGAAATATACCAGGTAGGGCAAAGGTGTTTGTAGTAAGCCGCAGATTCCAAAGAAGAGCATTTTATACAGAAAAAATATTAAAAGTTTTAAAGGTACAAACTGTAAACTCCACAGAGGGCTGGGATATCAGCCTATTGTCTTCTCTCCTGTATCTCCAGCATTTCGAAGAGTGTCTGGTTCATTCAGTAATTGTATAATGAATATAAGGGCATCACGTGAATAAGGAATGGAATAAGGAATGGCCTGCAGTTCATTGCCCTTGGAAAGATAAGCAAAGGCCGCACTAAATATAAGAGATTAGGGCTGACACACTGTTGATATACAACTAGTATTAAGGAAGTACTGTAAGTCCAGGAAGGCTTGGTACTCCCACCCCCTGCCAAATACCCCTCTTCCCCAGAGCAAGTACAAGGGTACAGCCTCCCGAGGTTCAGAGGAACGGCGCCGTACACTCCAAAGTAGGATCGAAGCACGTACTTTGGCATCAACGTCGAAGTGGGGCCTCCCACTCTCCTCCGTCCACCCCATCCTGCCCTCACAATCCGAGGGGAAACCCTGGAGAGAAAACAAAACTATCTCCAGGCCTCAGGGAACCCCACCAGTACAGTCCCGTAGCGCGCTCCCACCCTTCGGCCCCGCCCTACTTCCCTGGAACGCAAGGAAAGCGCACGCGCCTTTTCAAGCAGAGCGCGCGCCCGTGAGCTCTCCGCATCCCCGTGCTCATCCGGGTCTCAGCGAGCCTGAGCCTATGATAGATGCTCACGGCCCCCGGAGGCGGGGCTATGCCTTTCTTCACGTGGGGCCTGTGATCTCTGGGGTCGCGTCCAGGCAAGGGTGACCTGTTGGCCGAGGAAAGGGACAGTGGTAGAGAGGCCAGCATCTGGGCGAGAATGGAGGGTTTTGAGATTGAGTGGCTGCCGCCCCCTAGAAGCGACTAAAGTGTGAGCACATTTGCCAGTCTGAGCTACTGTAGTAAACACACTTCAGAAACGTGAGGTGCCGGTGGTCACGTGGGGAGCGCTACTTCCAATGAGAAGTCGGGGGTGGGACCAAGGCTGCTGACGCGTCATTGGCGGCGGAGTCACCGGGCTGTCTCAGGACCGGTCACCCGCCGGCAACCGTCCAGCGCCCTCCGACCATCGCCTCCGATCACAGCCTCCTTGCTCCATCCTCGCTGCTTTCTGTGAGCCCAGAAGCAGCGTGGCCTACAGTGGCTGAATCCTTGCTCATCTCACTCGGTGGCTCTGGCTCGCCTCGGGCGGCCGCTTTTCCTCGGCTGCCTCCGAAGGGCGAGGTTTCCGTGACGAACCTCCTGGGACTGCGGGTGCCCGCTCGGGTCGTCGTGGCTGCTTGAGACTTGCTCGCCCTCTTGGGGTCTGAGGCCCTCGGAGTTATGCGTGTCGTCCAGGCAGTTGCTGTGGGCGCCGGCTCCTAAAGGGTGTCACACGCGTACTCCGCCGACCCGGCAACCTGCGTTCAGCTTTCAGCTGTGCCTCCAGCGCCCTCTCCTTCTCCGGTCCCTTCCTCGGACTCATTTTTTCCTTCCCCCACCTCTGCTGTCCTGTCCTCACTCTTTGGGTGCGGTGATCCTCCTGGACGCGGAGGCGTCGGTTATGAGCTGGACCCTTGTTCCTTGAATTTCTCGGTAGAGGAACTTAGCGGTGACCCGCCGACCGCCGCGCCCCCAGGATGGGGGTGAACGCGGTGCACTGGTTCCGAAAGGGGCTCCGGCTTCATGACAACCCCGCCCTGAAGGAGTGCATTCAGGGCGCTGACACCATCCGTTGCGTCTACATCCTGGACCCCTGGTTCGCCGGCTCCTCCAATGTGGGCATCAACAGGTGGCGGTGAGTCAAAACCCGGGGGGAAATTGATCTCGGTGTTTAATGAACCAGGACTTTACACGCGATCGGCCCAGTCTGAGATCTTCAACCTGGGACCGCCTTACTTATGCTGTGTTAAGAATGTGTAGCAGCTTTGAGTATTAAATAGAATGGATTGAATAATTCTCTCTGGCCAAAGAGTGCTGGCAAGCTGGAACTCCTTGGCCTCCTTGTGTGAATTACGTTTCTCGGCGCTAATGGGAACTCTTCACCTGGATTTATGGGGACTTCTTAGTGGCAGAGTTAAAGAAACACCCTCCTTTTTCTCAGTGGCCTGTGGGTTGATTTCCTTGGTCTCTTTTGTGGCATTCGAAAAGATTGCGGTTTTCAATGTTTGTGTCTCGGGAAATCATACTATGGAGAAAATTATTCATTCAGTACAGTCGCCTCCAAACCTAGTTTTCTTCCACCTTGAGGTTGCCGAGGGAAAAACAAGGGAAATAACTGCCTGGTTTCTCTTTGCTCAGCTCTTCCTCTCGACTCCTCCTTGTGGTTGACTGGACAAATCACAGATTTTCTTTCTAGGCAAAGGAGAATCCTTCCAGGGATCAGAGTACTGGAAGAAATCAGAGAGGCTTGATGATCTTTTCCTCAAATACCAGGCTAGATGATTGTTAGGCTTCCCGATGGAAAGGAAAATGCTCCACGAACAGATAATTGATCACCTAATAAAACAGACAAAAATTCTTGTTTTTAAAGTATATGTTATGCCTTATGCTATTAGAGTTGTCCCAAATTTTTCCCCCTTTGCCCCTACTCTGCCTGGTGCATTCCTTCCCTCCAGCAGTCCCCTCCCTTAGTTCATGTCCATGGGTCCAGCATGGAAGTTCTTTGGCTTCTCCATTCCCTATACTGTTCTTGACACCCCCCTGCCTATTTCGCTTCTTAATCCCTGTACCTTTTTAATCCCTGAACCTTTTCCCCCAGTTTCCCCCTTCCCCCTCCCAACTGATAAGCCCATGTGATCTCCACACCTATGATTCTGTTCCTGTTTTGGATGCTTGCTTGTTTTGTTTAGTTTTTTTGTTATCGTTGTTTGATTTGTTTGTTTTAGATTCAGTTGATAGTTGTGATTTGTTGCTTTTTTAATGTTCATGGTTTTGATCTTCTTTTTCTTAAATAAGTCCTTTTACCATTTCCTGTAATAAGGGTTGGGTGATGATGAACTCCTTTAGCTTTACCTTATCTGAGGAGCACTTTATCTGCCCTTCCATTCTAAATGATAGCTTTGCTGGATAGAGTAATCTTGGACGTAGGTCCTTGCCTTTCATCACTTTGAATACTTCTTGCCTGCAAAGTTTTTGAGAAATCAGCTGATAGTATTATGGGAACTCCTTTGTAGGTAACTCTCTGCTTTTCTCTTGCTACTTTTAAGATTCTCTCTTTATCTTTTACCTGTGACATTTTAATTATGTCTTGGTGTGTTCTTTTTGGGGTCCAACTTGTTTGGGACTCTGTGCTTCCTGGACTTCTATGTTGATTTCCTTTGCCAAGGTAGGGAAGTTTTAACTTTCTTCTTCTTTTTCTCTGTTTGTCACCCCTATGATTTGGATATTGGCATATTTGGAGTTGTCCCAGAGGTTCCTAAGCCTTTCATTTTTTTGAATTCTTGTTTCCGTTTTCTGTTCTCTGTTAAAACAGACAAAAATTCTTGTCCTTTTTGAGCATGCTTCATAAAGTTAAGATATATAGTATTTGGTGGTGATAAATGCTGTGGAGAAATATAAAGTAGAGGAAGGGGATAAAGAATACAAAACATTGAAATTAGAGTTAGAATTTTAAATATGGCGATTGGGAAAAATTGAGAAAAGGTTTCAAGTGAACAAGGTAATGAAGCAAATACGGATCGCGGCTATCTAGGTGAGAAGCATTCCAGAGTGGGAACATCAGGGAAAAGGCCTAAGGTGGAAATCTCCTTGACCTTTGGAAGAAATAGCAGAAGAAGACAGTATGACGGAAGCAGAATAGGTAGGAAAAGTAGTAGATGAGTCAGAGATGTAACAGGGCCATACTGAGTAGAACTTTATAGGTAGTTGTCAAGCTTTGTGCTGTTAATCATAACAAAGTGGGAATAATTATAGGATTATGAGCCGAGAAGTGAATGATCTGACTTAAGTTTGAAAATCTTCTCTTGCAGTGGTTTGGAGAACATACTGAATTTTGGGGGGAGAGGCGGTGCAGGGGGGGCGGTGCAGGTGGACGAGAAGCAGGAAGACCAGTTAGGAGGCTGTCCTATTCATCTAGGCTTGGACCATGGTGATAGTGGTATATATGGTGAGAAGTAGTCAAAAGCTGAATATATTTTGAAGGCAGAATCCACAGTATTTATTGTCAGATTAGATATATGATGTGAGAGAAATAGAGGAATTAGGAATGCTTTCAAAATATTTGGCTTAAGGAACTAGAAGGATGGAACTACACTTTGCTAAGAAAGCGAAGTCAGAGAGGCCATTGGGAGGGTGTTTGGAGTTCTCTTCTGAACTTGGTTAAGTCTGAGACGTTTATTACACATCCAAGTGAAGATAGCATTTATTCATTGAGCATATTGGTCATGCACCTAATATATCCAGGTACTGTTTTAGGTGCAGGACAGTCAGCATAAACAAAACAGCTAAGAAACAAAAACAAACAAAAAATCCCTACTGTGTTGAAGCTATATTCTAGTGAAAGCCATGAAACTATATGAGAACATTAAGAAAGATAGAAAAGAGAGAATAATGTTGAATGTTAACCGAAATTGAGAAACAAAATTTAAAAAGAGAAAGAGAGGGGAGGTCCATTGACTGAGCCTTGGGTGCTCTAATGTGCAGGTACTAAGAAGGAACATCTAGTAAGAAAACCCAGAGGACTGGTGTCCGAGAAGCTAAGAAAGCGCTTCAAAGAGTTTTGTAATCTACAGCAGGTGTTGTCGATAGGTCAGATGAGATAAGGATGAAAAATTAAAAATTGGATTTAGCATTTTGAGGCCATTCATAATCTTGAATTGAGTGGTTTCAGTAGTGTAGAGGCAAAAGCCTTTTTGAATGGCTGAAGAGAAGCTGGCAGGAGAAAGGTGGGAGACAGCTCACCCGGACGGACATCTCTTTCAGCTCTTTCAATTTTGCTGTGGGGGGGGATCAGGGAGATGGTGTGGGGTATGAAGTCAAGAGAGGATTTTTTTTAAAGATGTTCGGATGTTGATGGGAATGATATAGGAAGTGTATATGAAACACTCATGAGCAGAATTAGTGTCATTAACGCTGATTCTGGGAAAAGATGGTAAATGTAATATATTTTAATGTATTAATATCTTGCAGTTATATAGTAATAATTCCCTTTTCATAGGTTGTTAGGAGCATTAAATTCCTTAACAAATGTAAAATGCTTAAAATGTGAGGAGTAGTAGTAAGTGCTTGTCATTTGCTATTCAATTGGAAGCCCTAGGTAAGTACTAATTAAATGTCTGTAGTAAGTTTCATCTAGAGCAGTTTATAAGTTTATAAAATCAAGACTGTAAGCGTCTGTAGGAGAGGAATTATGTATTGTTTAACTTTATCCAGCAACTCACATTGTCAAATAGTGAGTGATATAAAACCAGTAAGCACAGTAGGAATAGTCCCATATTTTCCTTTTTAAGCTAGTAAATATTCCCTTTCTAAAAGATGGGTAAAGATGTAAATAATGAATAGATAGACTGTTTTCTTTTACTGAAGACTAAGTTATAAAAAGGCAGGGACAGAATTTTATTTAATCTGTTCTCATAGCACCAAATTCCGTGCTTTTCATAAATAGTAGCTCAATTATTATTATTTGTTGAATGAAACGACATCCATGAGTCAGTAATTTTATATTTAAACAACTTTATATATTTCTCTGTTGATCATAGGATAATGTTCAGACTCCTTAGCCTGGCATTCAGGCTATCTTACGGGTTTCTAACTTCTTTTTTTCATGCCCTTTCCTTCAATTGACATTTCTTGGATTTAACAGACAATCACACTTAAAAAAATTATTTTATCTAAGTAAGTGAACAAAACTGCCTTTTGATATTGCCATAATTTCATTAAAGAAGACGCTTTAGCATAAAAAAAGTTGAAGGAAGTTGTGAAATAAAGGACAGTTCTTTGACTTGAATAAATTAAACTTTATGAAAATTCTCTTTGCCTCATTTGATCTTAGACCAGTGAAAACCTTATCTTGAATTTGTCATCTTTTGGATTGAATAATTTAAAATAGTTCAATTCCTTTCTTCACTTAGCTCTTAATAAAATTATATCACACAAAACATATATACAAATGTTTATAGAATTACTCATAATTTCTTATTAGTCATAATAACCAAAATATGGAAACAATCCAAAGGTCTATCTACTGATGAAAGGGTATATAAAATATGGTATATCCATAAAATGGAATATTATTCAGTTATAAAAGGAAATGAAGTAATGGTAAATGCTACAACATGAGTGAACCTTGAAAACATGCTCAGTGAAGAAGCCAGTCACAAACCCTCCACATATTATTTGATTCTACTTATATAAAATGTCCAGAATGGGCAAATATGGAGAGACATAAAGTAGATTAGCGGCTTCTTAGCACTGGGAGGGTTGGAGGAGTTGGGAGGTGGTAACTCAGGGGCACATGGTTTCTGTTTGAGGTGATGAAATGCCCTAGCAGTTTGCACAACTCTGTAAATATGCTAAACACTATTGAATTGCATACACAGGTACACAAATATCAGCCCTTAAGGCCCAGTCAAAACGCTATCTTTTCCATAAAACCTTTCTCTGTCACCTTGCCTGAGATGATTAACTCTTGTGAACTCTTAAACCATTTTACCCTGAGTACTTACCTTAGTATTAATATTTAAAAAAATATTTTATTTATTTATTTTTAGAGAGAGGGGAAGGGAAGGAGAAAGAGTGGGAGAGAAACATCCATGTGTGGTTGCCTCCTACGTGGCCCCCACTGGGGACCTGGCCTGC